TAACATGAATACCCCGCTCAGACACAGAAAACTGACACAGAAAACTGACCCCGAGCCGACCTGTCCTTGTTTTATCCCCTTAATGCCGAGCGCTAGTCAGGGTAACAACAAGTATCATCTTTTAATGTCTTTTGGTATGACGCGGCTGGGGATCGAACCCCGGACCTTCCGCTCTCCAGGCGGACGCTCTACCTCTAGAACACGATCGCGGTAGTTAGTGCACAGACGTGTATGATGTCCGTTCATGTGAATTGACTTGACTCCAAAACAGGTCATAAGACGCGTCGACGTAAAGCACGGACCATTTGATGATCCGATTTGAAATATGTTCGCTGGACAGACCCATTCACCTCACATGAACCGCAACGTACAAACACATACACACCACACAACACACCACCACACCAAACATAAAATACCACACGATATCACACATTCACCACACATCCATACCATACACACACCACATCACATCACACCACACATAAATACACACAAACACATCTTACCACATCACACTACACCTATATACCCACCACACACATCAAACCACACCACATCACACCACAAATACTTACACACCACACCACACATACATACCACACCACACCACACCACACCACACCACACCACTCCACACATACATACCACACCACACCACACCACACCACACCACTCCACACCACACCACACCACACCACACCACACCACTCCACACATGCATACCACACCACACCACACCACACCACACCACACCACACCACACCACACATACATACCACTCCATACCACACCACACCACACCACTCCACACATACATACCACACCACACCACACCACACCACACCACACCACGCCACACCACACATACATACCACTCCATACCACACCACACCACACCACACCACTCCACACATACATACCACACCACACCACACCACACCACACCACACCACACCACACCACACATACATACCACTCCATACCACACCACACCACACCACTCCACACATACATACCACACCACACCACACCACACCACACCACAACACAACACACCACTCCACACATACATACCACACCACACCACACCACACCACACCACACCACACCACACCACACATACATACCACACCACACCACACCACACCACACCACACCACACCACACCACACCACACCACTCCACACATACATACCACACCACACCACACCACACCACACCACACCACACATACATACCACACCACTCCACACCACACCACACCACACCACACCACACATACATACCACACCATACCAAGCCACACCACACCACACCACACCACAAATACTTACACACCACACATACATACCACACATTCGACACACATCCATACCATACACACACACAACACATGCACACCACACACACACATACACTACACATACATACACACCACGTACCACACATACCAACACACCAAAACACACATACAACACCATAATTACACGACACAACACACTTCAAACATAAAATTCACACATACACAACACACCACACCACACCACACCACACCACACCACACCACACCACAACACAACACAACACAACACATACATACATACATACATACATACATACATACATACATACATACATACCACACCATTCCACACCGCAACACACAACACAACACAACACCATGCCACACCACACATTCATTACATATCACACATACGCATCACACCACACACACCATAACACACCACAACACACCACACAACACAACACAACACCATTCCACACCACACCACACCACACCACACCACACCACACCACACCACACCACACCACACAACACAACACAACACAACACCATGCCACACCACACATTCACCACATATCACACATAGGCATCACACCACACACACCACAACACACCACACAACACCACACAACACAACACCATTCCACACCACACCACACCACACCACACCACACCACACAACACAACACCATGCCACACCACACATTCACCACATATCACACATAGGCATCACACCAAACACACCACAACACACCACACACACCACAACACAACACACAACACAACACAACACCATTCCACACCACACCACACCACACCACACCACACCACACCACACAACACAACACAACACCATGCCACACCACACATTCACCACATCACACACAAAGCGGCGTTAAATCCAGCATGCTCTGCTTATAATAATGTGTCGGTAATAATTAATGCTTTTTAATTCCACCTGCAGGTCCCGATGAGTTTATCCTTGCAATATGGGAGTCAGAGTCATGTTGTTTCAGCAAAAAAAAGTTCGAAGAACCCCGGGGGTATGTCTCAAAAGCTTTTCATTCCATATACCATTAAAAGAATGTTTTTTCACTCAATGACATTTTAACCATTAGCTGGTATTATATACTATTTAAATCATCTAACTCCTCGTTAATTTGGTTCAATATGATGGGTTGGTAGTATAGGTAATGGTGATTCTGGCTCACTTCCACTGGAGCCAGATTTATATACCTATACCACTACTACAGAGGGATTTTTTTATGCAAAAATGATGATGCGATTCAACGGTCAGGATTCGTATTAAAAGAAACATCAATGTTAATTAATAATGGATAAAACGTACCATAGACCACAAGGATAAAAATTAGCCACTGCGGCTAAGGTATCTAAAGATGGTTGAAGAAACAAACGATGTGGCAAATATACTTACCGGCACCGCGTTATATCCCGAGGAAGAAGTTTGATATTTTTACAACGAATGAAGTTCATCAGGCTTACATCTTGTTTCTTCCCAAATAAGGTAAGAAGCAAAACGTATAAATACGCTTTAACCGTAGTGGATGTGGCTAGTTGATACAAAGAGGCTGAGCCATTAACCTCGAAAGATTCAACAGAAGTAGCTAATGCACTGTGTCGCATATATAAACGCGGACCACTAAAATGGCCTAAGTTATTTCAAGTAGATCCTGGTCGCGAGTTTATGGGATCAGTAACTAAACTGTTAACAAAGCACGATGTCGAAATCAGGCGTGGTGAAAAAGAGGCCCACCGTAGTCAAGCTATCGTCGAAAGATTTAACACGACATTAGCGGAACGTTTGTTTGGATATCAGTATTGGATTGAAATGAAATCGGATCGATTAAGATCATCCGAATGGGTGACACGATTATCAGCGCTGAATAATGAAGTAACGAGATTAATCGGGAAGAAACCATCCAATGCGTTTAAAATGAAATCTCTGATTTCCGAATCTTCAGCAACGCGGAAAAGCAAAGAACAAAAACGTCCGGATAGAGTTAGCGTAAGATAGTTATAACAGTCCGGTGAACTCGAAGGAGGCCTACGTCGCGCAACCGATCCGATTTGGTCCCTTAAGATATATAACATTAGTCGGTTGGTTATGAAAGAAGGAGAGCCTATTCTTTAGTATCTTAAAGATGGACCGGGCAGGGCATTTGTACGCGAAGAGTTGCTCATAGTTCCCAAAGATGCAGTATTACCACCATAACCATAAGCATAGGTAGATACACCATCATTATCAATCCATCTCTTTGTATCTAAGTGGGATAATGATGTCTTGTTCATTCTTAATCCATATATCCTGTGATTGTTCATCTCGTGTTTGAATGTTCTACCATTGAATAATGGTTCTTTATACTGTTCGTGTTTGATATGCTTTTGTACAACATACTTCTTAACACCCTTAGCTTTTCTTATCTCTCCATTATCGGACTTCTTTATAGAATACATCTTAGGTCTTAATCCGACATACTCCGCAATAGGGGTCCCAGCACATTCACCATTCATCTTACCTAATACCTTTCTATTTACTACCCTGTGCAGTGGATTATCTTTTGGGTAATCGCTCGTGTCGTACATATCTATTTTTTTCTGCCATATCTTTATATACATCCTCGGTTTGTATTTCCATCAACAAAGAATCTGTGTCGGTATATAACACCTCGCATCTATCGCCGTACTGCTTCTTAAGTTCGTTGTAATAAAAGTCATACATTAAGTCGTAATCAAATATCTTGCTTCTTTCATCCTCATTAGACCTGACTAATTTAACATCAACACGCTTCCTTAGATTCTCCATAGTTTAACCAAATACTGAGTTATTCATGAGCTTATATAGATTCTTTTCAAAATCGCTGTAGTCATCTTTCTTAAATCTGTGTTCAGCCTTATATAGGGCTCCATCCAAGGGCTTTGATCAAACTTTGGAACTCTGTGTATTTTCTTTCGATTCATGCCTCATATTTTTCTTCTTTTAACGGCCCCATACCGATCATGGTCAAGAATTGTTGCCCTGGCATACCACTCGCCGCTACGTCGCAAACAACGTTTTCTTCCATCTGTGAATGGGAGGCAAAACCTTGATTCGCCTGTAAACGGTTGTAGACGCCTGGTGTAACGCTTTAAGCACAGAGCCCGTCTCTGGTGTTGCCGACCCCACCTCAGTCTTTGCCGCCTATGGTAAGCTGTTAGGGTCACTACCTTTAAAGTACGCCTTGCTTTCAGGCGGGATGCATAGAGCCTGTTTTCAACGGTAGATGTTGAAATACGCCTCTAATGATAATAGGGGGCACGGGTGGCCCAGTCGTCTAAGGCGCCGCGATTCGCTGTGCAGAGTTGCGTCCCTTGGGCACGCCAGAAACCTATGATTGTGGTTTCGACTCCCGGTTCGCCCTGATTATGTTTCTAGGTTTGTCAGTACCATACCCATGCTCGTGGGTTTCACCGAAGTGGTAAACGTCTGAGACCTGCATCACTTCGGGCTTTCCTCCCACACTAAGCTGACACGCCGTGATATAACTATAATACTGTTAAATGCGGCGTGAAACCCATCTCACTCATTCACTCCCACGAAGCTCATATGACTTGGATAAAACATATATTTCACTTTGATCCTCTCCTCCTGACACAACTTATCACATTTTACATATTTCAGACAAAAATCAGATACGATGCACATTTTATTTTGATCGATTTGCTTGCATACGCCCGGAACACAACAATATGAAAATACAAAGTCAATCATTTTTTCAATTGGGAGAAATTGCTTTAATAGCAAGGTCCATAAAGGTTGAAGGTCCACCCATTTCTACAATAACATTTCTTTCTTCTTAGGGTGTACAGTGTGGAACATTTATATAGTCTGAAAGCACCAAGGAACTAGCATTGACATCAGATGGTTTATAGAGACTTCGAGCTGTGGCATGGGTAAACATTACTACAAGAATCCCGGTCTGCTACAGTGTTCTATGGGATCTGGTTAGAAAGTCCTTGCAACAAAATTCATGTTGATCTTCACAAAACGCCCATTCGATGTCAAGAACGTTGGTACAGTTGTGTTTCTGTGATTCTGGAATGCAGCGTTCACCATAATCTGGGTCACAAGGATCTGTAAATAACAAATTGATCAAACAACAACCAAAACAAACAAACAAACAAGGAGTGTAGCAATTCTGAAACACGGGTTAGAAATGGTGGTCCAAAATTATTGCACTAATATAGCGACATGCGTGCGTGCGTGCGTGCGTGCGTGCGTGCGTGTGTGCGTGCGTGTGTGTGTTTGCTTGTACTAGTCCGAACTGATGCCTTTTTATAGTGCCAGCACACTGAGATACCATGCCGCAGTTTTAACATGAATACCCCGCTCAGACACAGTATACTGACTCCGAGCCGACCAGTCCTTGTTTTAGCCCCTTAATGCCGAGCGCCAGACAGGGTAACAACAAGTACCATCTTTTAACGTGGCCGGGAATCGAACCCCGCACCTTCCGCTCTCCGGGCGGGCGCGCTGCCACTAGACCACGGTCTTCAGATTCACTGACTTGGTTGATGCGTGTCATTGTATCCCAATTGAGTAGATCTATGCTCATGATTTTAATCACTGGATTGTCTGGTCCAGACTTTACAAACCGCCGTCACACAGCTGGAATAGTGCCGAGTGCGGGGTTACACAACAAACAAACGAACAACAAACAAACAAACAAACACACACACACACACACACACACACACACACACACACACACACACACACACACACACACACACACCGTGTGTGTAAATAAAACTGCAAAAAATAGAAAGAAGTGCACCCCAATTCCGATTTGTCCTCATTGTTGTTAGTTTGATTAGTTACTTGTGTCATCAAGTCATGAATGTGTGCTGCCAAATTGCCAAACATATTTTCTGTGTAAATAACTAAAGACATATTATCGTACCAAATCAGTTTAAAATATTGTTGATATAAAACATCAACGCGGAAGAATAACCACCGAAACAAATTCCATTAGCCGTACAGACAAAATGGCGATGAAAATTATATGGATGAATCGCTGAAATTCAGTAATGACATCAGGTGTTCGCGAACAGAATAATCATATCCTGTCCTACAGGTAACACCTGCCACTCACATACGTTACATCAAAAACACAAGCAAAAGTACCATTGTCCCTCTGAACCTTCATTTTTCAACCATGTGTTAAAAATTGTGACATGCCTTTTATATTTGGCTTGGCATGACATTGGTTGCTTGTGATCCAATTTCAACCTGGTGACAATGGTTGTCTTTTGCAACCGTCTTTTACAGTTGAAAGCTTGAAGATACATGAAGACATTTAATGCGAATACCATGTTATACTGTATTATGGTAAAATAAACATAGCTAGGATCGTATGTGTGCACATGAATTAGCCATGAAGTGGTTTTGTAACGAAATTCCACATCACGAAGAAACAGGATCCGCTATTTGGCCTTTTACGCCAATTGGAATCTGGGCAGATAATCGCGACTGGGTCTTCTCTGGCGTTGATGTTTTATATTTACATTTTTCTGTTGGCGCTGTTGTTGGTGATGTTGACGTTGACGCCGTGGAATTCACCCATTCTTTTCTCAGATTTAGTGTTTATAATAATGGGCACCTACGGTGAATACTTTTATAGATATAATTTATAGTTACAGTTTATATAGAAAATATAATCGTTTCATCGAACCAACTTTATATCCTGAAAATATACTAAAGTTCACAAGTTAGACTAAGCCTGGACACTGGCCTTTAGAAACAAAATAGCAGAGCTTCTATACGTTGAGACGTGTCAATAAATCTTGCATGTATGAGTTATTTAAAAAATATATTAAAAACGTAAGATCCAATTCAATGAATAGATGAATAGATATAGGAGGATGTATTCATTTTAATAGACATCCGTAAAGAGATATGTGACCCGTGTCGCAGACATCAATGAGATGACACTGCTACCATCCAAGAGCGTCAGTGGAGCGATGGAGCCTGCTCTCTCTCACTCTCTCACTCTCACTCTCTCACTCTCGCTCTCTCTCTCTCTCTCTCTCTCTCTCTCTCTCTCTCTCTCACTCACTCACTCACTCACTCACTCACTCACTCACTCTCTCTCTCTCTCTCTCTCTCTCTCTCTCTCTCTCTCTCACTCTCTCTCTCTCTCTCTCTCTCTCACTCTCACTCTCTCTCACTCGCAAAGCCCTTTCTGTAATTCAAAATTCCTACCTCATGCAAGTGTAGATTTCCCTCTGAATATCCCATCTCACTGGGGCTCCTTTTCAATTTAAATGGAGTTATTTGTTTCCATGAAACATATATTTTCAATGACTAAGCGCTAGTCTAATTGTACCCATGTTGGAAACGAACCCGGGCCGTCGGCGTGACGAGCGAACGCTTTAACCACTGGGTCTTTTCCTATTTTCCCAAGACAATATAGGTATTGCATGACAGCGACACTACAGGAGACTGTTCAGATCACTCCGTGAACAAAATTATCTCAACCATTAAACCATGTTTTACCATTACTGACTTGTACTTACATGGTAAATGAGAGGGGTCATACTTGACCGCATACACATCTGCAACGCAGACGATGACGACGGCGACGGTTATCAGGAGACCGTGGTTCATGGTTGCCGCACCTGTCTTCCTCTGTAGCGTTGTGGTATGTATGTATGGTTTGTGCAACAGCTTTTGTGGTATATTTTTGTGTATGTTAATGTGCTATCACACATATCCATTTACTGCATCTGTTTGTAGGATATTGAGAATCGATATGTTAACTTGATAGACGCGCGGCATATGGGAGAGAGGCATGTTTGATCAGGGTTACAACATTCAAGGCCTCAGTGAAACTTTCAAAAGTGTCCCTATTTTGACTTGTATCATATGTACCTGTGTTCTTTTTTCTGGCGAACTGTTGACTTGCACTTGCCATCGATGGGGCAGGATACGCTCACTTTTTAGCGAACACCTGTTATAATCAGTGATTGATTGTGATTATTAAACACATCCTAATGATATACATCGGAATCGGGGGCTCGGGTGGCCCAGGCGTCTAAGGCGGCGCGATTCGCTGTGCAGAGTTGCGTCCCTTGGTCACGCCAGAAACCTATGATTGTGGGTTCGAATCCCGGTTCGCCCCGATTATGTCTCTAGGTTTGTCAGTACCATACCCATGCTCGTGGGTTTCACCGAAGTGGTAAAAGTCTGAGACTTGCATCACTTCGGGCTTTCCTCCCACATTAAGCTGACACTCTGTGATATAACTGGAATACTGTAAAAAAGCGGCGTTAAATAAAACTCACTCACTCACACACTCACATCGGAATCGAACAAAGGACTCTGCTTTTGGAACTGGAGAACTGGAGACGAAGTTTTCTCCGAAATCCCCTGATTATTACTAGTTGTGTCTTTTTATCGATAACCGGGTCGTGGTCAACAGGGTCGAAACATCGGCGACAGTGATAGGCTTTGACCTCATAAAAAATTCTGACGTCATTAAAATATGACGTTTACATTGATGTCTGTCATACCAAGCATGTTGTTTACCTTATTCAATAACCATTTTACGTGTGTTTCGTGTGGTTTTTTTGGGTGAATCCTCCTTCTTGGTTACATGGGAATTCAATGTTTGCCTTATGCTGTATTCCTGTTATGTCATTGATGTCATATTTCAAGCATTATTCATATTACTGCATATTTATCCATGCTGAGTTGTAAATATGTAAAATACTTCAAGAAAAAAGGAAATGTGCTTCATATAAAGTTCAGTAAAATATTTTTATTCAGAAATTAAATGATGCATCTTTCACAGCATAGTCATGAAGGCATCTCCTCGACTTTCAAGTGGTGATTCACAACTTTCACGTGCATGTTTATTTAAGGCGCACAATTTGGATGTTTGCGTGTTTGTTGAGGGCATGATACTCACACACGTGAACAGCAAACAATAATTCCTTACCTGTCAGGTGCCCATAAAAAACACGTTGATTTACCCTACAAAACGTGTACACAACGCAAAGGCTTGCTGAAATCAACGTCTACGTTTTAAAGTTTTAATGTCTTGGCATGTTGAGGAAGCACTGCATCCGGACCCAACGTCCAGCCATACGCCAAATTTCGTTTCCACGTCACCGTCTTCGTCAGGCGCGCCTAACTTAGTGTAGACAGCTTCCGAGATTCAGAAGACAAGACTGGGACAGTAAACAGATGAGTCCTGGTTTCATCTGGACAGCTATAATAGTCGTGCAAGGATCTACAGGCGTTCAGAAGAGTGAGTGAGTGAGTGAGTATGGTTTTACGCCGCTTTTAGCAATATTCCAGCAATATCACGGCGGGGGACACCAGAAATGGGCTTCACATATTGTACCCATGTCGGGGATCGAACCCGGGTCTTCGGCGTGACGAGCGAACGCTTTAACCACTAGGCTACCCGACCGCCCCAAGAACACTTAGAACACTTGCGTTACTCAACAACGTCAGTTTCGGGGACGGAAGTGTAATGGGGTGGGAGAACACAACTCATCATTGTTATTGTGTTATTGGCAGTCGGAATTGCGTATGCTACCGTGACTACATCGTTAGGGATCATGTTGCGCCCTTGTGCAAATGCAGGGAAGGGACGTAACGTCACGTTGCAGTGGGATAATGTAACAGACGTTTTGAGACAGAATAACAGTGATTCATTGCCATGGCCAGCCGTTTCTCCAGACCCCCCATAGTATATGTCTGGGATGGGTTGGGTGGACGCCTACCACAGGACCAGAATCAGCAGTTGGGCTAATCTTTGGTTGGCATTTGGAATAACATCCCCCAGGCTGTTTTTAGTCATCTGGTGTCTTCAATGTACCGCCACTGCCTCGCCTTTATCGGCGTAAATGGGGTTAAACCCGATATTGACATCGTTAATTTAATTTGTCACACAACTCCTCTTCTCATGTTGCCAGGTATAGGTTTTGTCAATGAATTTGTTATGATAAAACATTGATCAGACGAATTACCAATTATTATGTTGTTACTGTATTTTTAATAATTTATTATTTCATTATTTTGAAATATCAAAATGTACCCTATTTACAGATACACAAGTCTCTATAATGACCAGTCCATTATCACAACAGGAAAATCTCATATGTTTTGACAAGCCATCTCTACTCCACTGTCTAACAACTGGGGTGTCTGACAATTGGGGTATCTGCCAAATAGGGTGTGACTACAAGATGGCCCAGAATTGCAATTAATGGCATAGAACTGTTTCTGTGTGCACAATTCTGAACAGGGTTTAGGAATCCTAAAGAATTTGAAAACAGGGTCAAACAGGAAAAAGTGAACTGTGATTGTCACCATGATACCAGGGTCAGGGGGTAGAATGACTTATGCTTTAGATGTGAAGCCTTGACCTGCACACTGCGTATTGGTATCTGAGTTGGATGGTTAAAAACGTATACAGTATTGTACGAGGTCACTCATTTCACAGGACAATTGTTTATTAAGCTGTATATATATATGTAATATCGTTATGTTTTCTCTCGATATTATCAGAACCCAAGTAATGCTTTCGAGAATGTGTGAGGTGACAGCTGAAGCAATATTTTGTCACGCTAAAAGTCTGTTTAATGAGTAAAATGTGAACGTGTAAACTGGTGTACTGTACGTACCCCTCGATGTGTTGCTGGAATATTTCCTCACCCGACATATATCAATATCACGACCTTCAAGAGAAAGTAACTGTGTGACGGTTAAAGTTATGTGTGTGTCCAGATATTGAGTGTTAGTTTATGATATTGAACGAACCAGGTTTGATTGTACTGACGTTTGGTATTTACGTACAGTGAGGACAAGAAAATACACACCACATGTACAGATACAACTCCGCACAAATGCCTATCAAACAATTCAAGTTACATATAGTCGACATAGGGGCGGTCGGGTAGCTTAGTGGTTAAAGCGTTCGATCGTCACGCCGAGGACCCGGGTTCGATTCCTGACATGGGTACATTGTGTGAAGCCCATTTCTGGTGTCCCCAGCCGTGATATTGCTGGAATATTGCTAAAAGCGGCGTAAAACCATACTCACTCACTCACTCATATATAGTCATTACACTCAAGTGATCAATCTGAACTTTCTCAAGCTCTCGAAGGCTCCACATGACTTCCCGGGCTCGAATCACTCCCCTTACTATTTCAAATGTCCATGTATGATGGTATTTTCTGTGTGTTTGTGTAGAATTTATAAATATTTTGGAGTCGCATGTGGTTGGTGACGTGGGTGTGCGCGTTGCTTGAATGACACATGGACCCAACCCCACCCAACTCCCACACCACACCACACCACACCACACATTGTAGCGTGGCTTGTATGATGGTATTTTCTGTGTGTTTGTGTAGAATTTATAAATATTTTGGAGTCGCATGTGGTTGGTGACGTGGGTGTGCGCATTGCTAGAATGACACATGGACCCCCACACACCCCAGGAGCTATCGCTACATATGTATTTGTCCACTCTTTACAAACTTATGAAGATAATAATAGTTTTACATCGAGAATATCTCAATTCGGACTGACGAAACCTATTTGATAGTGATTCATAGACGCATGGAGTTGTATCCATGTTATGATTATTTCAACAATCAGATTATGGCACACACTTCCATTCGTGTTTCAATTAACGAACAGGAACCAACAAAACAGAACAGTTACTGCACTGTCGCAGTGACATGGATTGAGCAAAACAAGGAAAACAGTCATATTATTTAATCAGTCATGACAGGGGCTTTACAAGTGACAGAAAGTTCCGTGTTGATGGTAGCCTTGAAGGATTACCCGGATATGCTTGACATGTGACCCAGAAGGGCTTGCCAGATGATCCAAGGTACAGACAAGCCCCGGTCATACACGGACCCGCCTGGGCCTTGTCTACTTTGGACCACCACTTGCGGTGGCTCCTCTGCAACAGATAGTGCATGTAGGACACGTGGCAAATTCGGGACCAATCACATCCTTACAACGCCCACTCTGCTTGACTGGGATGCAGGTTCCGCCCCATCTTTGACAGGGGTCTGCAAATATACAAATATACAAGTTCTGTACAATGTAGTTCACATTCATAAATAAGAGTGTTACAATATACCGATTTTCGATGTCCAGGATGGCAATCAACGAACAAAGGAAAACTATACAGAAACAATATGGATACTGAGCTTGACTATCGATTGTTTCTATCAATGTTATGAAACGACAGGCAGTCAAACAATGATACTTCATATTTTGAAAAATCAAAATACGCCTTGTTTGAAGATACACGAGAGTATCGTATTAGCTCTATAACGGCGGCATGTTAATAATCGACCCGAGAAACTAGTGGTTGATATCACGAGCATCGTCCCACGCCGTCAGGATACGATGACATACAATGAACCAAGTCACCAAGCTTGACCATCCGATCCCAGGCTAACCCACTCTCGCCTTGAAACCCCCAAGAGAAAGCAGACACATTAAACTACGGTTATAACGAACTCAAATGGACCACTAATTTTAGTTCGTTATAACCGTAGTTCGTTAGAAGCATATATACAGCATGACAACAGCAAATGATCGGGACCAAATAAGTAAGTTCGTTATATCCGTCAGCTCGTTATAAGCGTGTTCGTTATAACCGTAGTTTACTGTGTGTGGAACACTTTTTACAGTCATTTTGCATATGTACATAAACATAGGTACAAATGAGCGCAAGTTGCATTAAATTAAGTCGATGGAATTGAAATATGATATCAATTATCATTGTAAAAAAGTGTTAAAAGTGTTATGGTATAACAGGGAAATCTACCGACATGGGAAAATTTCACAGGTGTTATATATCTTTTCTCATTTGAATTTACAACTTCTTTATCTCGCTATGAGAACAAAGCTCTTCCTTCTCTCGGGGAAAGCTTTGTCGTAATTACACTTCATAAAACTGGTTTTATATTTGGCAGTTCGAATACAATTTATTATGGAAAAAGTTAAAAATGCTCTGTATTCTGAAATGGCGAATTCCAATGTCTTACAATCTGTGCAAAATAGACGTAACATAATTATAAATACTTACATGGTATCTTTGCATGCACGGGGTGGCTGAACTCGACTACAGCGAGGAGAACAAACACTGTGAAGAGGAGAAAATGTTTGCAAATCATAACGAAGACGGTCTGGAGCGAGAGTGTCGAGGAAGTGTGCGGTGCTCAAGTGTCGTCTCGCTCCGATATGTTCGTATTTAAGACAACAAGTGTTTTCTATATCGTATACGTGGAACACCCTGACAAGTTGATTGATGGTGCGTCGTATCCCCATCTACAATAAAATAGCCGCAGGCATTTTGCTTAAGTAAATAAAGTTTGTGATTTGTTTTCATTGGGCAAATAATACGTAGGCTCTTTTTTGTTTACTATTCCCTATTATAACTTGTACTCTATCTTCCCGTGTTTTTTTTCCCGTTTTTATTTTGGTCTAATTTTGGTGAAATGTGTGATCGTCAGGTCCCTAAGCAACGGTTAATAATACGTCCAGAGGTTTCCAGCACCAACAAATACTGACGTCACACCTTACCGTAAAACTTAACCTATTTAACATAACAAACCCAAAACACAACCTTAACCCTCACCCTGTAGAAAAAAAATGAAATAAATTTTGCCAAAGATTTAACACAATCGTGGCACAGGTAACATGAATATGTGATAGTTACTGATACTCACTGGTGGTCACTGAGAGTTACTGATACTCACTGGAGGTCATTGATAGTTACTGATACTCACTGGAGGTCATTGATAGTTACTGATAATCACTGGTGGTCACTGATAGTTACTGGTAATCCCTGGTGGTCACTGATAGTTACTGATACTCACTGGTGGTCACTGATAGTTACTGATAATTAGTGGAGGTCACTGATAGTTACTGATAATCACTGGAGGTCACTGATAGTTACTGGTAATCACTGTAGGTCACTGGTAGTTACTGATACTCACTGGTGATCACTGATAGTTACTGATAATCACTGGTGGTCACTGATATTTACTGGTAATCACTGGTGGTCACTGATAGTTACTGATACTCACTGGTGGTCACTGATAGTTACTGAGAATCACTGGTGGTCACTGATATCCTCTGTTTTCAGAAATAGTAACTGGTGGGCATTGATAATTACACTAGTGGTCACTGATTCTCTGGTAGTCAGAAATAATCACAGGTGGTTACTGTTAGTTACTGGTTGTCATAATGCGTCACTGGTGATCACTCGCGGTCACTGACAGTTACTCATGTTAGCTGGTCGTTACTGCTACTCTCTGGTAGTCAGAAATAATCACTGGTCGTCACTAACAGTCACCGTTTATCACTGCTGGTCACTGTGGTCACAGATTATCAAACTGTGGTTACTGATATTCACAGATAGTCACCGCTGGTCACAGATAATTACTCTGTGGTCACTGGTTGTCACCGATATCTCTATTGTTCACTGATAGTCATTGACGATTACACTGTGGTCACTGGTTGTCACTGATATCTCAGTTGGTCACTGATGGTCACTGATGATTACACTGTGGTCACTGGTTGTCACCGATATCTCTGTTGGTCACTGATGGTCACTGACGATTACACTGTGGTCACTGGTTGTCACCGATATCTCTGTTGGTCACTGATGGTCACTGACGATTACACTGTGGTCACTTGTTGTCACTGATATCTCTGTTGGTCACTGATGGTCACTGACGATTACACTGTGGTCACTTGTTGTCACTGATATCTCTATTGTTCACTGATGATCACTGATCATTCCACTGTGGTCACTGGTTGTCACTGATATCTCTGTTGGTCACTGATGATCACTGATCATTCCACTGTGGTCACTGGTTGTCACTGATATATCTGTTGGTCACTGATGGTCACTGATGATTACACTGTGGTCACTGGTTGTCACCGATATCTCTATTGTTCACTGATAGTCACTGACGATTACACTGTGGTCACTTGTTGTCACTGATATCTCTGTTGGTTACTGATAGTCACTGACGATTACACTGTGGTCACTGGTTGTCACCGATATCTCTATTGTTCACTGATAGTCACTGACGATTACACTGTGGTCACTTGTTGTCACTGATATCTCTGTTGGTCACTGATGATCACTGATGATTACACTGTGGTCACTGGTTGTCACCGATATCTCAGTTGGTCACTGACAGTCACTGCTGGTCACAGATTATTATACAGTGGTCACTGGTTGTCACTGGTGATCACTGAGAGTCTCTGGTGGTCAGAAACAGGTCACAGGTAGTCAGTGATAGTCAGTGGTAATTAGTGCTAGTCACCGATGGTCATTGTTGGTCACTGGTGGACGTTTATGATTGTTGTTGGTAACGTAATCGTTACTTTCCTATTTGACGTTTCAGTAAATCCTGATTTATTTACCAGATTTGTAGATATTTAAAATATACATGTAAACAGTCAGATAAATGAAGATGGTGTGTCTATCGAACTGTTACTAATCAATAAACTTCTAATTTATATTCAAGCCTTTCACGATATGAATATTAATTAAACGTATATCTGCCTCTGTGTACCCAACTTTGAACATCATAAATGATGTTTGTTTTTTTGTTGTTTGTCGCCGCACTCAGCAATTTTCCAGCAATATGACGGCGGTCTGTAAATAATGGAGTCTGGGCCAGACAATCCGGTGATTGACATCATGAACATCGATCCACGCAATTGGGATAGGCATAGTTTGCTGAAGACCTATTCTAATCCGGATCTTCACGGGTTCATAAATGATGTATATACATTACATTGAAAATATTGCGGACACTCTGCAATCTTGGTAGTGGGGATCTTCTGATCTATTTTGTATTGATAAAAGGAAATGATATGATCATATCTGCAGGGGAGTAAGCGATCAGACCTAATGGGTTCTAATGGATGTGGTGATGAGATCGTGGCGCACTTGGTCGTTGAAGAGGTCGGGGTCAAATTCGAAATTTACATTTTGCAGTCAACGTCACTAATATCGGGTAAAACCACCTCTGTTAGCCAGCCATGCACGAATTCTTCGAGGCATGCTTCTGATGAGTCAACCAATGTCAGCTTGACACATCAGTGATAGCAACATCGAGCTGTTGCCTTTGTGCGTTCAGAGCGCGGCGTCGATCATCGACGTTATGTGTTTGTTGGTATCTGATCACACATCTAGAAACATGCAGCGTTTGGCCAACCCTATTCTGATGTGTGCCCACCTGCAACATAACAATGGCGCGAAAACCTTCAGCACGTTGTAAACGTCACATGTGTTTTGTTAATGTACTTGCGAGATTCGAATGTACATATATATCGATTTGAAGTTTCAGAGCTTTTTTAACACTTGCTATTTGTTATCCAGATGGTCATGTTGAGTCGCGCCAGATTGCTTTGAACGCTTTGAATGTTTAACTGTGTCAAGGCAAATCTATAAACCAGCCAAGATATGTTCGGTAACAGTTTCATTGATCACTATTCAAATATGCCATGGGGAGTCTGGGTTAGAATAGGTCCCAGGGGGCACGGGTGGCCCAGTCGTCTAAGGCGCGGTGATTCGCTGTGAAGAGTTGCGTCCCTTGGGCACGCCAGAAACCTATGATTATGGGTTCGAATCCCGTTCGCTCCTTTTATGTTTCTAGGATTGTCAGAACCATACCCGTGCTCATGGGTTTCACCGAAGTTGTAAACGTCTGAGACCTGCATCATTTCAGGCTTTCCTCCTACATTAAGCTGACATGCCGTGATATAACTGGAATAATGTTAAAAGCGGCGTTAAACCAAACTCACTCACTATTCAAATAGCAAAACACAACATGTAGGACTCCAGCAGTTACCTTACTCAGTCGTACTTTCTTGGTAAATACGTGAAACTTTGAATGAACGAGTGAAGGGTTTTTTTGTATGGTGCCACTCAGAAACATCAAATAGTATCACGATTGCCTGTAATTAATTGTCACCGGGTTGTAAAAGCAGTCAAGACACGACCAAGAGACCGTTCCGCTTCCCTCTCCCTCAATCGTCAGGCGTCGTCACCGTTCGGCAAACTCCGGCGGTCGCGGGACTTTGTGTCTTTACATTCATTGTTAGAGAATTGGTGACAGTAACATTTTGTTCTCTAGCGGTTTATTGGATACTTTTATCAAGTATTGATTTGATATCTGTCTCCTCGTATAATTATGCATCCTTATTCAGGTATTGTAAATGTTTTAGTAATTCTGATTTTAACGTATTAGCGGGATTATCTCGTTCTTGGAGATATGTCTCGTGTATTTATGGTCATATTTGCCACCTCAAAAACTCTTTAAAACTTTAAAACTCTTGGAGAAATAATGTGTCTTCACCCACAGGTATCGCTGGACCGTTTACGGATCATCATGTTTCTGCTTTGGTCAGGTCGCAACTTAGGTTTCGTTACTAAGTGGTGGTGGTGTAGTTTTTACCCTGTTACTGACTTAAACTGGTGGTAAGCTAATTCTGATTAGATAGGCTTTTTATAATTCGTACTCCGTTTTTCTAGTAGTTGGTGAGTAACCAACTTTCCCGTGGTTGCTTAGTTTAGGTGAAGTACGTATTTACAATTGGGAGGAAAGTTCGTCTTTTGTTGACGTACGCTTCTCAATGATTGTGAGTCTAGATTCTCCGCAGGTCATGTACCTTTTATTTTAGGTAATCTAGTATTTCCTTGGCCAGTCTATGTGTCTGAGGCTTTAGTTTATAAGACTAGTTTGCTAAACAGGCGTATGTCGGCTATTTTATTGACCAAGAGACTAGAGGCCCTAATGTTTATTTGTCTCTATCTGACCCCGTTGGGGTTATTCACTCATTAGAGTGTTGAGTGTTAGTTGGTCACAGCCGACTTAACTGGCTGTCTATGCATCTTGCCAATTATCTTGTCAAAGTGTTGATTTAACTACTACTCTTCTATATTACTGTTCTGCAGTTGATAGCCGAGCAGCTTGTATATTTTCTCTGATTTAATTAATCAGTGATGACTGTCAGTGTTTTGGGGTTTTGATCCTTCATATTGTCGCCCATTGATACAATTAGCTGACGGTTATAAAGCTGTGAACTTTTACCAAGTTTTCAATTATTACTTTATTTCTTGTTTAATGCCACCCTGGTCTCAGGAGAATAGCTCCGTGACATTATGGAGCCTGGACCAGGAACATCAGTGGTAGGACGGATGAACAACGATCCACGCCACCCACGTCACAGAACCTCGGGGGCGGTCGGCTAGCCTAGTGGTTAAAGCGTTCACTCGTCACGCC